ACGGATCTACCAGATGGGTTTTAGTTTTCGTGGAGTTTACAGAAGCATCCTCAGGAGCACAGCTTTTTCTCACAACAATAATATTACCGGTAATCATAAGAAACCATCCAGATCTTTATAATAATATTTTAACAGCACTTGCAACACAATAAGGTCAGATCATATGTGCTATAGAATACACGAGTTACAAGAAAGTAACAAACACACTAAACAGGAAAGACAAGGATGGCAGATGTTGAAGAGGAAAGAAGCAGCAAACCACACAGGAGCACTCGCCAACCACAAAAAACGTATCCTACATTTGTACAAAAGCTTTTGATCTGAAGATCTTAAACAACTGTAACAGAAGGACGAGGAGGAGATGGAAAAAAGGAGAAGAAGAAAAAGAAGAACAGAAAGAACAAGAACATTGTGTACTAATAGTACAACAGTAACACTAGCAGTATCAGTAGAAGTAACACTAGCAGTATCAGTAGAAGTAACACTAGCAGTATCAGTAGAAGTAACAGCAGCAGTATCAGTAGAAGTAACAGCAGCAGTATCAGTAGAAGTAACAGCAGCAGTATCAGTAGAAGTAACACTAGCAGTATCAGTAGAAGTAACAGCAGCAATATTAATTAACGGAACAATTAAGTGCGGAAATCAACACAACTCTCACAAAAACAAAAAATTAAAAGTTTTTTTCTAGTTGTGAATACCAGGCTCACCAACATTTTCTGAAGCCAAGCCCAGAGACACCCAATAAAATGACATCAGATGACATAACAAACAACAAAATCACTCCAAGTCAAGTTGGTTTTGGCGTAGTGTATGATGCGATCAAATGGTTCAGACATCTCCTACGATTACCAACACACCATCCAGCACAACGTGCCTACATAAAAAAATTTGATGGCAACAAGGCGAGAGGGCGACCGAGAAAGACCTGGATAGACGGAGTCAGGGAAACATTAACCACTGACTTCATCCCCCTGACCAAAAGCTCTCCGGCTGGCGACAGAGAGACGTCTCTTTCTTCCCGCGACACCCAAAAGGGTATAAGCGGCGGATAAAAGAAAGAAGTATGATGTGACTAGGCTGTACAATTCTCAAGTACAGTAGGCAAGTCTGGTGTACATATCTTTGTCTGGTGTACATATCTTTGTCTGTCTGGTGTACATATCTTTGTCTAGTGTACATATCTTTGTCTGTCTAGTGTACATATCTTTGTCTAGTGTACATATCTTTGTCTGTCTAGTGTACATATCTTTGTCTAGTGTACATATCTTTGTCTGTCTAGTGTA